ATTATTGAAGAAAACAATTAGAATGGAAAAAAAATCGCAAAATAAAAAATTAAACTTTGAAAATGAAATAACAATAAAATCTAGAACAAAAACGTCGGACATGTGTCAATCAAACATCTTAAATGTAAGCGACTTGCCCTCCACCTCTGCGGGAATTGGCGAAACATTAAAGGGGCCCCTTAATACTATAAGGCTTCCTACGGTTGCTAAAATTTGTGACAGGTTTGGTTTGTCAGATAGATCTGCAGCTGCAGTCGTTACAGCAGTATTGCAAGACTTTGGAATCGTTCTCTTTTTTGCAAGAGAGGGGATATGATTTAAGTAATCTGGTTGCGGTTGGTTTTGAGCGGACAGTAGTGAACACCGGGTTGAAAAATGGTGTAATTGCCCAAATTGAGGTGAAATTAGGTCGACCATTACAGCATTTCGTGTGTCAGCTACAAGCTAATGAACTCCCTCTTGACATATATTCCAGCATATTGATGGGCAAACATCTGGACCTAAAGCATTTGCAGGTCCATTGGGAAAGCAAATACAAGACTGCGAAACTTTACCAGTTGCAAACTACCAAAATATTGACTGTGTGCTACCTCCTGTGACGTGTAGTGACTTAAGTACAGATCAAAACTATTTATATAAAATCTGTGAAGCAATTTCCTCAGGCGTCTGTTCCACGGACTTAATAAATCGAAATCCTGGTAAATTAAACCATGCCCGTTGGCTAACTTTGGCAAATCGTATCTTACGCCTGTATATCGGCACAGAAGATCCCAACACAACATTTAAACACGGAGCAAAGCATGTTTTTCAAACTATAAAGGTAAGCCGATATTTAAACCAAGAGTTAAAAAGTATTATTTACCCTGTGATTCAGCGCAACTCACATTTTCACATTCTGAGAACCTGCTGTTATGTATGTTATCCGATTCTCGTAATTTTGTAAAGAGCTTGCTCTTAGACGGATTATAAATGCGAAAAATAAAGATAATCAACATAAAATTCGGATTTTCACATTACCCAAACTTAACTTTGACGCTGATGACTACATCGATTTGATCAACTGGCAGGAAAATGAGATCACTTGTCCTCCGATATTTCAAAGCATGACCGTTGAAGATATCAAGCATTTTATAAAAAGTGATCCTGAGAAAATTTTTGAATGTGAGTCATATCCGTGCCACACCCAAGCGGTCAAACGATGTGTCAAGTTAGTGACGGAAGCATCTTGTTCAGTTGTTGGCATAGATAAAAGGGATGGTTTTATTAAAGCAAAGATAGATTCACGAACATCAATGCCCCAGTTTGAAACTAAAAAAGACTTTAATTAGTAAATCACTTGAATTTCGGAAGAGGGAGGGTAGGATGGAACTCGCTGAGCAGCCACCTCCCCGCGGTGAGTTCTGGGTTTTTTCATATCTATTATTAGCCTAATAAATATTGAAAAAGCGAAGAGCTGCTCCACAATTTGAGTTATATCGTGGTTTTTAATTTTTTAACCCCCTGTAGAGGGTGGAAATCGCAAATTGAGGGGAAAATTAAAGTTAAATATTTTCTTTCATTTATCAAGAGAAAGCTTTTCCACCCTATTCCAAGCCAAAATTACTAATTTCAGTTTTTCGAAATTTTAAAATTTTTTAACCCCCTGTAGAGGGTGAAAAAACCAAATTGACAAAAAAATCGAAAATAAACATTTTCTTTGTATTGCCAAAACGCAACTTTTTCACACTATTCCAAATCAAAATTCCGAAATTGTTAAAATTCGGCCCACCTGTGCACTGCACAATATTGTATTCCCAAAATTAGACGTAAGTCAAAGAAGCCACTATTGCTCATTTTTTGGACTAAACTGGGGAACAACGACAATTTTAAAAAAATTGGCATATAATCGTGGTAAGCCACGATATTCACAAAATCTCGAAAACGTTCCGAGGGATTACCTAACTTATAATAGGAAGGGGTATTACGACTAACAAACTCAACTGCCCTACTTGAAATTTTGGAAAAAACATCTCTTCGTTTAACACCCTGTAATATAATGCTATGTGCAATATATCGTATTCCCAAAATTAGACATAAGAGTCAAAGAATTAGCTATTCAGAATTTCGAAAGATTTTCAAAATCGATTCAATAATTTTCCAATAACGAGCTTACAAATATTTTCCAAAAAACTAGGTGCGTCGTTTTTTATGACGATCAGTTTATTTTCAGACTTTTTCATGACGCGAGTTACAGAAAGAAGTAATGTCCATTTGAATGCTTCATTGTAATTGTTCAGAGGCATTCGGGTTTTGCTAATAAAATTAATATATTTATTTTTAAACTCAATAATTATACCTACCTGCTATTTACCATTCTTTCTACGCACATTTGATTTAACTTTTAAGCTTTTATGCAATAATTAAACATTTAAGGAATAACATTGATTTTGAAATAATTTAAATATAATATATGTTCTATAACTTATTAAATAAACTATATATTATTTAATAAGTTGTTATTAATTTAATAATTATTTAAATGAAATATAGACATTTAATACTAAAATAGTTATAAACTTTTGCATACTTTTGCAAATAAAATTGTAAATTGCATCTACCTTTTTATGTGATGTTTTGTTACCTGGACAATTTGAATTAAAATATTCATTCTTACTATGTAAATTAAAGCCTACTTCTAATGCATTTTATTGACATTTGTGTTTTTTCGTAAATAATGATAACCAATATAACCGCCCGGCCTAACAACGTGAATAATGAACTCATTATTCACGTTGTTAGGCATCATGATGCTGCAGTGATTGGCTGATTTCAGTATTCACTGTTATTTGAACTAATCGGATTTTAAATTGGAAAAAAATAAGGTTAACAGATGATAGATTTGTTTGTATATACGAGGGGCGACTATAATGATCTTTAAAATCTGGGAAAAGTGAGATTATAATAAATTTTGTTAGCAATGAAAATTATTTAATTGGAGTAGAGAAAGCATAGTATTACACTGGAAATAATGCCCATTATTTACTCTGATGAATTACGTCTCTCGCCTGACGGCTCGACACGCAAACCTCATCCTTGTGAATCTTCATAAGGATTTATTGCCGAATCCCTGCAAAAAAATATTTCCAGAGCACGCAGAAAGGCGACTAAATTTTTGCCACGAAAGTGCTAATATGAACTGGGAGCGCGTCATATTCTGCGATGAGAAAGTATTTTCCACATCCGATGACGTCCATGTAAAGGTTTAAAAGCCCCCATATACAAGATTTGATCCAAGATTTGTGCGATCCGACAGAAGAAGTGGGCGTATAAGTGTCGGATGTTGGGGGTATATGACGAACTGCGGGTCGAAATCACTGGGAGATTAGTTGGGGTGGAGTATGTTACTATACTAAGAGATATTCTGGTTATATAATTCTGTTCCCAGAGTACCAGGTTTTAAACCTGGTCCAAGATAACAGTCCGATACATACCTCACGGATAGGGAATATCTTAACTTAAATTTATTAATGTCATTCCTTAGCTTGCTAAATCCCCGGACCTCAACCCCATTGAAAATTTGTGGGCAATGGTTAGTGGAACGAGAAAACATCCCAAGAACCAAACCAGAGCTAATCAGGCATTGCAATCAAGTCTGGGAAAGACTAAGAAATACAAATACAAATTTAATTCAACAGCATGCCTGAAAGACTTCAGACATGTATAAATGCAAATGGAATATATACAAAATATTAATTTAAATTATTATTTTTTATTTTATTGTATATACTAGAACTTGTTGGGTATGTTTAATTAAAAAGTTCTTTCTATAAAATTTATATTAAATATTTCCTCATATTTATTTATTGTTTTATTATTATAGGTTAACGATTATGATTATGTTTATTTTTATTAAAATAATATTGAAAAAAAATAAACACAAATAAAAATACACATTAACCTACATATAATAAAAGAGCAATAAATAAATATGAAGAAATATATAAAATATATTTTATAGTTTTATACCTATTTATATTTAGGTATATATACATATATGTTTTATAGTTTTATATGTATGTTAGTTTTATAGGTATTTTAACTTTTTTTATTATAATATTATCAAACGTTTTTTTAAATCCTAGTATATTTAGTTTTTAATTTTAACACAAAATGTAAAGTAAGTTTTAAAAAACTACAACTTGATAATATTATTTATAGCCTAAAAAATTCTTATTAAAAGTTTTTCATAGAATAAATGTTTATAAAACTATATCAAAAAAGTAACGATTTACTAAAAATACAGTTAAATATGTAATACACCAAAAATAATTAATTCAATACGAGCAGGTAGTAAATTCTAAATATAGACATGTTTTTAAATAAATCCTAAGAGGCAGATGTTGACTATTTCCGAATGCCTCCGAACAATTAGTAATTGTCAATTACAATGGAGCATTCAAATGGACATTACTTTTTTCCGTAGCTGTACATCACTTGAAGGATAAAATCGAACTCCCAATTGATTATTAATAAATCGTCACCCTAATATAACAAGGTTGTATGTTTAAAAAAATGAAAAATATATGTCTATGTTTCAACAGGATTATACGTGGCCTACGCTTCACATACCACTTAAAAATAATTCTATATAATGTATATTCTATGTATACATATATATAGAGTTCTTTTCAAGTTGTATGTCAATGGTGGATTACATAAAACCTTGTAGAAGCATAAACTCAAATTTTTCGGTTTTTTAACATACAACCTTGTTATATTAGGGTGACGAAATGGTGAACCTTTCATCTGTCAACACATTTTTTTTGTAAAGGGTGTCCAGATAAGTACGGTAATGGTTGTTAAAAAAAAATTAATAAAATAAATAAACTCTTTGTCATCAAGGCATGGACATCTATCTCTAAAGATAGTGGAAGTAGCAGTCTCTGAATATCTTTACAGTTTTGTCACGTTAAAAGCTGTAGAAATATACAAGTTAAGACCTTCTGGAGCGGTTGTTTTACCTGGTGCGAGGGGCGTGGTGGCGGCATGGTCGGCGGGGTCCGCGCTGGCGGCGTCGGCGGAATCGCGTCCGGTCCAGTCCATGTCCTCTGGGGCGACATTGGCGGCGCTCGAGAGCAGCAGCAGGGGCAAGTTGAGCCACGGGCCGCCCAACTCGCTCAGGTCGCTCGCGTCCGACGCCCGAGAGGACTTGCGAGAGGAGGCGCGACTCCCTCGATGCACGTGCAGGAAAGCAGACAAGCGACCCTGCCAGCCGCCGCCCGGTGACGAAGTTTGCGTGCAGTCGTCCACCTCTGATGCCTCGCGTTCTTTCTCCTTCTTTCTCCTTGATAATAAAAAAATCTTAGTTAATATTCTGGCTCTTAGTTAATATTTTGTAACACTGATATTGTTTCCATTTTAAGAAAAGTTTCCATTTTGGAAAGTTTCCAGACAGGAATGGTAGTATTTTCATTTTGAAAGTTTCTTTTAAAGTTACCGGAAACATTCCCGAAAACTTTCCCTGTTTTTTGTAAATATAAATTATTTAACAGCTGATTTGCGAAGCTAAGGCCAAGAAACTGAATACGAAGAAGTTAATTTGTGTTAATTTAAAGAAGAAGAAGTATAGTATTAGTTGTTCTATGATTAGTTTGATCGTCACAATTCATAAATCGTTAGCAAAAACCCTTTGCATAAAAGCCTTTAAACAAAATAAAAGCAATAAACAAAGTTAAAATCACCCAGATAGCAATCGTGCGTCGCACGGCGTGAGAACGCATATGAGTAGCATAGCCGTGCGCGCCCACGCGATGAGCACAGTATGAGCGCACGACGTGATCAATGATCTCTTACAAGTAACGAGTATCTATTTACTAAGTAGATGTATCAAAGTTGGTAAAAAACGCTTTAGCGATCTTAGAGTTAGAGTTATGACCAAAAAAAGATATTTAAAACTGAACTTTGCAGTACTGTATGTTTTTTTCTCAATTATCTCGTAAACAAAGCCTTAAATCAAAATTTGACAAGAGTGGCTTTTTTTCTTAAAATTGAACAAGGAATTAAAAAAATAGGTCAATTTAAACCAATATCCAGTGGCGTAAAAAATGGGGTGGAAAAAGTGAAACAACCCCCCTGTATCTACGTCACTGGACAATTTTGACAAAAGTTATAACTACTTACGTCAGGTAACAAGTCGTCACCCTAATATAACAAGGTTGTATGTTTAAAAAAACGAAAAATTTAAGTCTATGTTTCTACAGGAATAAACGTGGCCTACGCTTCACATACCACTTATAAATAATTCTATAGAATGTATATTCTATGTATACATATATATAGAGTTATTTTTAAGTTGTATGTCAAGGGTGGATTACATAAAACCTTGTAGAAGCATAAACTCAAATTTTTCGGTTTTTTAACATACAACCTTGTTATATTAGGGTGACGAAGTACCTATTTCATAAGTACTTGTACCAAATTTGGTCAAAAACGCTTTTATTTCCTGAGAGTTAAGACAAAAAAAAGATTTTTAAAACTCAACTTTGAAGGGCTGTAGGTATCTCCCTTAGGAGGGGTTTTGGAGAAAAAAATTACCATGCATGTCGACTTATTTTTCGATGGACTATCGAATGGTGAATTATTGCTACTATACATACCTGGACCACCCTGTATATATATATATATATATATATTAGGGTGAGCCAAAAAAACTAACCTATCGGATTTATGGGTTAAAATGAACCTACATACCGAGCAAAAAATTTCCCTGCAAGGAAAAATTTTTTGCTCAATTTTAAAAGGTGTCGGTGAGCATTCTAAGTTTTCCATTGAAATAACACGTAAAAAAATCTTTTTTCATTAAAAAGACTATAACTTTTGAACCGTTTGAGATAAAAATTTTTACGTCGCGGATTCTTGTAGAGCATAAAATTTCCCAAAGAATCTATACCAGGATTATTTTTTTTAATTCAAAAATTCGTATGCTTGAAAGCTTTCAAACATACGAATTTTTGAATAAAAAAAAATAAACCTGGTATAAATTCTTTGGGAAATTTTATGCTCTACAAGAATCCGCGACGTAAAAAATTTTATCTCAAACGGTTCAAAAGTTATAGTCTTTTTAATGAAAAAAGATTTTTTTACGTGTTATTTCAATGGAAAACTTAGAATGCTCACCGACACCTTTTAAAATTGAGCAAAAAATTTTTCCTTGCAGGGAAATTTTTTGCTCGGTATGTAGGTTCATTTTAACCCATAAATCCGATAGGTTAGTTTTTTTGGCTCACCCTAATATACAGGGTGTTTCAATAAAAACTCCCAGGCCAATTATTTCGAAAACTAAAAGTGACATTTAAATTCTGTAAACGCCAGTTTTTAGTCTCTATGATTGGCTTCACAACTGTGTAAAAAAATTGTTTGAATAATACAAGATGTAGGTGGCGCCACTGTGCAAAGAATTTTTTCGATGGCAGGAACTTTTAAATTAATTTTTGATCAAATTATGTCCCATACAAATTTTTGATAAATCCAACATGAAAGGAGATATTTGAGGTTAAGTTTTTTTTTTAATAATTTTAACGAGTATTTTAATTATAAATATTTTTAATATGCTTTAGCAGATGATCATTTAATTCTGGTAATCATAATTATAGTGATAAAACGCTCGTGTAGCGTTAACTAGATTAAAATTATAACGTCCAGTGACGCCTCAGGGGGCCCCTTAACAAATAATATTGGCAAAAAATAATACGCCACTGAGTTTTTGGTAATTTTTATATTTTTTTCGGATTAACCAACTAAAAATATCCTTTTTTTGTCTGTTAAATTCTTTTCATATCTTGCTTGCTTCGAGAAATACAAATAAAACCATTTGAAAACAAAAATCATTAAGAAACAAAACCATAAATTATGAATACCCTATATTTTTTGCTGTTTAAAAACAAAGGTGAAACATTAAAACATAATAAAATAAAATTAAAGGATGTTTTAAATTTTATGAAAAAGTGGTAAGAAATTATAAAAGATTATTAAAGAAAATTAGAACAATACCAAAAACTAACCAATAAGGTCGAATGAGGTGTTCAAAATTATTGCCGTTTTTATACACACATATCAAATCGATATAATAATTCGGTTCTGCAAACTTGTATGTATTTTGATTAATAGCGGCTATAGTAAAGGATGTTTTAAATTTTATGAAAAAGTGGTAAGAAATTATAAAAAGTTATTAAAGAAAATTAGAACAATACCAAAAACTAACTAATAAGGTCGAATGAGGTGTAACTAACTAATAAGGTCAGCCATGTCTTCTATTGGTTCCTTGTAGACTTCATTTTGTAAGCCGCCCCATAAATAAAAGTCAGGGGACCTTGCTGGCTATCTAAGATCCTCATTTGTGCTGATCTTGCTTTTCTTGTCATTTAGATGATTCATAACGATATTGCTATTGTGTGCTGGGGCACCGTCTTGATGAAACCACATAGTATTAACGTCAATTTCCAAATTTTGTAACAGCAAATTAGATCGTTTTGCAGAAATTGTAAATAACGAACTGAAGTTAAATGTTCATGGTACAAATAGGGCCCGAATATGTAACCATTTACAATATCGCACGAAACATTTACCCCAAATCGTGTTTAAAATTTAGTCTGTCGTATGCAGTTAGGATTTTCCTGGGACCAATAGCGACAATTATGATTATTAATTACTCCATTATTGTAAAACCGGGATTCGTCACTCCACATAATTTGGTTTAATAAATTTGGATTTTCTTCCAAAAGAATATAAAAATGTGTCAAAAAGTTTAATCTGCGCTGGTTATCTCCTTATTGTAGATGATGCTCTAGATGAACTTTGTATGGAAAAAACATATTTCCTTTTAGGAACTTACTGAAATATTGGTTTCATCTTTTAATATTAGAATATTAGTTTCATCTTTTAATTTTCGTAATGACGATTGTGGGTTATTTTTTACTGATTGGAGGACTAAACCTACATTTTCGTCAGTCGTATCCCTCTTCCTTCTTGGAACCGTTTCCTTTTTAAAGCTACCATATGAAGCTAAGTTGGTACACAAAGCTACAAAAGATTTGCGATCTGGCGTTGGTCTCGATAGCAGCGCACAGCTTCTGAAGCATTTTGATGTCATTCTCCATAAACTAAAACCATGTAGGTATGTTCAATTTGTCTTGATTTGTATGGTGAACCATTTTTATTTTAGAAATGTAGAAATTGCAAATTCTTACACTGACACTAAGTAAAGAAAAATTTACTTGATGTTTCTAAAATTCATTTGTTTTTATTTAATGATTATTGTTTTCCAGAGATATGCAGTGAAATGGTTTTATTTTTATTTCTCGAAAACGAAGCAAGATATGAAAACAATTTAACAGACAAAAAAAGGATATTTTTAGTTGGTTAATCCGAAAAAAAATATAAAAATTACCAAAAACTCAGTGACGTTTTATTTTTTGCCAATATTATTTGTTAAGGGGCCCCCTGAGGCGTCACTGGACGTTATAATTTTAATCTAGTTAACGCTACACGAGCGTTTTATCACTATAATTATGATTACCAGAATTAAATGATCATCTGCTAAAGCATATTAAAAATATTTATAATTAAAATACTCGTTAAAATTATTAAAAAAAAAAACTTAACCCCAAATATCTCCTTTCATGTTGGATTTATCAAAAATTTGTATGGGACATAATTTGATCAAAAATTAATTTAAAAGTTCCTGCCATCGAAAAAATTCTTTGCACAGTGGCGCCACCTACATCTTGTATTATTCAAAAACATTTTTCACGCAGTTGTGAAGCCAATCATAGAGACTAAAAACTGGCGTTTACAGAATTTAAATGTCAATTTTAGTTTTCGAAATAATTGGCCTGGGAGTTTTTATTGAAACACCCTGTATATATATATACACAAGGTGTCCCTAAACTTAGTGGCATAAATTTAGGAGCAGATTAAGCAAGTCAAAATAAGACGAAAATCTAAATAAATATTTTTCCTAATTAAGTATGTTTCAAAGATACAGGGTGATAAAGTGTTACTTATAATATTAGTTTTTTAATATAACTTCTACTGTGGTAGACTTGGAAAGGTGATATTTTGCGAACAGTCACTTACTACCAAAACGCATATTTACACATAATTACAATTGTTTGAGTGAACACAGTGTCGTAGAAACAGGGGTTGCTTAAGCTTATTGTCCCATACAAACTTTGAGGTTAGGTTTTTATACCATTTGATGCAATTTTAAGATTACACAGTTCGGCTACCATTAAAAAGGTGTACTTGTCAAACTTCGATAAAATAAACCGTTTCCGAGATATTCGAGATTTCAATAATTGTTGTATCGTGTGCACACGTGCGATTTAAATGCGCCGGCACACGTGCGCTGCATATGAGACGCATCTGTGTAGTGATCTGCCGCATGCGTGCCGTTTACAGACGCACGCGTGCACTCACTGTGCGCGCATCGTGACTACATTTTGCTATCTGGGCATTCTAACGTTTTTGTTGTTTATTTATAGGTACAGTACAATGCCAAAACAAAAATCTTATATTTGGAATTATTACAAAATAGTGCATAAAAAAAGATCATGCTCAATACAAGTTCTGTAAAAAAATATATGTCGTTAAAGCAACCAAAATCGTCATACATAAAAAAGTTTCTTCGTCCCCCACAAAATATTATCTTATATCATAAGATTATCTATGCAAAGTTAAGTCTATAGACTTAAGACAGTATACTGAAAGTCACCAGGTAACAATGCCAGTACTGGAAACAATTAATTAATAACATGTCTCTTAACGAACAGAATAATTTGGAAGAACTATTTGCTTAAGCAATTTTCTCTAGTCCCTTTAGTTAGTCGATCAAAAACCCTGATGTACTACCTACATCCAAGTTTTAAGCTACCTGGAAGAAAGAAATTAAGTACAACATTGCTTAACTCTGAACCGCCCTCTGAACCAGGGGTATGGTTGTTTATTTGTGTTTGTGATTGTGTACTTCTGTAATTGGGCCTGGTGCCTGTTAAAAGCACTGGCACTAATAAATATAATTGTGGCAACTACAGAGCCTGTATTTTTTTTAAAACGATAGCCTACTGAAAAATGTTGATTTTATTTTGCCTGTATTTTTCTTCATATTTTATTTTTTGTACTGCAGTTCTATTTTTAGTATCTTTTACTTTTTAATATTCCTATATAGGTATTATTTATTTTTGCAATCCTCCTGGCACAAAAAGGTCATTTCCGCAATATTTTTTTTTAACTTTTGGAAAGTTTCGGGAATTTTTGATGAAAAGTTTCCGGGAATCTTCGTCAAATTGGAATTTTCCCATCTCCCCATTGTTAAAGATTTACAACAATAATATTTTGTTTCTATTTATGATGTACGGGTTTTAGTTTAATAATAATGGGCCAAAATAAAAAAAATAACATATTTTTATTAAAAATAAAGAAAATACTTAATCCTTTAACACCAAGAAAAAAAAAACAAAATTATAAAATAAATAAAATTCTTTTTAAATGGTAAATTATCAATAATGACCCAATTTTTTTAAACCGATAAACAATGTTGCAATAATAGTTTAAAGAAAACAAACAATAAGATCATGACTTTTAAGAAACAAATCAATGTTACAATGGTTAAGAATGCATCATAATACGCTAAAGAAGCATCGGGTTTTCGCAACGCGCGAGCCTTCTCGTGTGTGAATTGAAGAATTGTCAACAATACATTTAAAGAATACGAACTGCACAACATTTTTAAATAAATAAGTCATTTTTTTCACAAAATAGAGGAAGGCCGAAGTCTTACTCGACAAATTTAGTTCAATAGCACAGCTAAATCGCGCATGTTATTTTTGTTTCGCGTTGCAAGTAAAAACTGATAAACCTTGGTTTAGACTCGATTTATTATTCCTTATATCATTGATTAAGAAGCTCAACGCTAATATGCATATATAGTTACGTTAGTGTGTATATTTTGTCTAAGTGAACATGGTAAATTATTGTGTTTTTAATTTTAAATAATATTCAAGAACTAAATCGTTGCATTTTCATGTTTTGTCACAGGATCCAATACGGTGCAGAATTAGCTTATGTTAACTTTACCTAATATAATTTAAATTTAAGTATAGAAATTTTCAAAAAATCCAACAAAAAATAATTGCCTCTACCCAGGATTTTTTTTCGATATTTTTCGGCTTTATTCTCAAAAACACTCGTTTGTAACATATGCGTTTGACAGCTGCTTATTAAAAGCTGAATTCTGGTGGCGCTACTAGCGATGCTTCTTTAGGTTATTCGTGGCCTAGTCCGCTTCACAAATGAATATTTTTTGTCACCAACTTATTAGTAACATGTAACATTTACCCGGCTATAAATATTGTGGGCTAGGTACATTTTTAAATTTGTATGTCAGTATCGTCACTGTATTAAAAGTGTTAAATAAGAAATCAGTTTGAAGTTTTGTATTATAAACGGGATTCAAAATTCATTTTTATGGTAGAAGTGTTTACCTACATATCTAGGTTTAGAGGTGCGTCTGCAAGCTTTCGCAAGATAAAAAAACCGGCCCTGATTATAAATAAAAAAAAATACTAATTGTAACAATTATTACCCATTCCAGTTGTGTCCTTTTTAATTAGAACCATTTTATTTGTTAGGTTTGTGAGTATTCTCGCGAATTTAAGTTAAGGCTTTTATTTAAAATTGTAAAAATTATTGTTGGTCGTTAAAAAGAATAAATCATGTGGTGATAAGGTTTTTAGTGTTTTTTTGTTTCATTTCATTCATATATAGCTAACATTTTAAAACACGTCATAAATATGATTTTGCTACCGATTGAAATTATTTATCTACAAGTACAAAACACAAGTTTAAAATTGTACCTGGTCCACAATAACTACAGTACTAATAGAAAAGGACAGTTTTTGCCATTTATAAATGATATCTGACACACAAGTTTAATAGTATACCTGATCCACAACATTTATAGTCGGATATTAGTACCCGACTATAAATATTGTGGACCAGGTACACTTTTAAACTTGTGCCTCGGATTCTAGAAAATAAATTAAATTGTACTTACCTAACATATTCCCTGTAGGTTTTTTGTATTAACCTGGCAGCTTTGTCTTGTCGTTTCCATATCCTCGTTGAAGAAACAATTTCCAATTCCTTTCTAGTAGGGAATTGCTTCTTAAATTTAATATCCATTTGTTCTTGCAACTAAAATAATAACAAAACAGTGTAAATTCGTAGTTTTTTTATGATATTTGTAGTTTCTTACCTGTCTAAAATTGTCAGTTTCTTCTACATGTCCCAAAACATGCTTGACAAGAGCATGTAATATATCCAAGCAATGAATCTTATTACCTTTCGCAATAGGCAAGTTGAAACTAACCAACGCCACTGTATTAGGTTTCGAAATACCCAGTGGAGGGTCTAGGGAAGCAATAAAATCTGATAATTGCGAAAACCGAATAAACTGAGCTGCATGAGGATCATATCTACAAATAATATATAAGAAAACTGGTTCATAACATTATAAAAAACCATTTACTTGCTCCATCTAATGTAGAACATTTCCAAATCATCTTCAACAATACCGATTTCTTCCTCCTGATGAGCTTGGTTGAAGTTTTCAAGAATAATAGCGATATACATATTTATAACAATCATATAATTTATAATAATAAAACTAGTAAAGTATATAATGGATAAGAGTGGATATCCACAATCACCATTACTTTGGTTACGGAAATGCGGATCACAATCTGGGTATTCTATCATCAAGGATTCTAAAACATCATTCCAACCAGCTGAAGTTATAAGCCTGAATAGAAGATGCATTGATCTAGAAATATATGTTTATAGTTTTCGTTTTGTAGGTTTTTTAAAGTGATGTTTACCTTCCGAAGGTTTCAAAGTTGACCATATCATCGAGAGCACCTTGCTGCCGGACATGTCCAAATAAAAACATGCCAATAATAGCGTAAATAAATGTTATCAAAGCTAGAAGTGCTCCGATATTGAAAAGAGCTGGTAGAGATACCACCAGGGCAAACAGGAGTTTTCTTATACCTTTAGCAGCCTGTAAAAGATATTTTTGTTAGAAATGTTTATATTGATTAAAAGGTAACCTTGTGAAGGATATCTACAATATGTGAGACAAATATGACATGCTATAATAATCCTAAAAAGGTTATAAATTGATGTGATAAAAGCAAAGCAATATTAGTTTAGGTTATAGTCTTAAGGTTCTAGTTACTATATCTGGTCAAACCATTACACAGTGGTCTGAGAGGTAAATTTACGCGGCAAAAATTATTCTTTAAATATTTTTCCCAAGACGTGTGTTTTTTATGTTTTTAAGGGTGCTTTACTTCTTATATCAACTTTTTTCAAAAATATTTGGTATTGAGGGGGCTAAGTCTAGCCAAATGATATAAAATGAATTTTTTTAATATTTGAATCTTCTAATTTCAAAAGCGGCCATCTCCAATTTTTTTTTAATGAGTTATTTACACTAATAAAATCGAAATAATACGTAGTATATTAGTGCAAAATTATATCCCAACAAAAACGGCTATTTGCAAGGAAAATAATTCATTAAAGTTTTATGTTAGTTTTAATAACGGCCATCTCCATTGATGTTTTAAGTACAAAAATGTACTTAAAATGCCCATTTCCCTTTTTAAATATATGTTTTTTAATTAAAACTTAAATCTGTTTACTTATTTTGTAGAAAAATTATTTTTAGTTACCATATGAACAAGTTTTTCAAAATATATTTTCTTACTACCTCGACTCAAAATACGTTGTTTCGTCCCCGATTTCACGGCAGAAAGTTTACGTTTCTTGCATTGGTCAAGCTATACGCGCACACTCTAATAGCGGGAGTAAAAATTTTTTAGTCGCGTGCTTAACATTTAAATTTCGTACTGCCAACATGAGAAACACAAAAATATGACAGTTTTAAACCATAATTTTGCAATTATAACAACAAATAAACAATTTATGTTTTTACTTTTTTACTTTTTATGTTGTTTTAAGTGTTTAATGGTACTTTTATTTGTTATAAAGTAGTAATTTGTTAATTAAAATACAACCTTTTATTTTTACTGTATTGGCACCGCTGAATTACCATGACAACGCTACAGTTTGATTGATTTTGAATGTAAACGTCAGAATTAAATTAAACGTCAAATTTTAATTTTGACACAAATTTTTTTATATACATTTAATTTTTTCCCGTATTTTCTGCAGGGTAGTAAGAAAAATAGTATACACTACACGGGCAGAAAGTGTGAGAGTCCTGAACTGCGCGCCATGATGCCCTCGGCTTCGCCTCGGGCATCATGGCGCGCAGTGCAGGAATCTCACACTTTCTGCCCTTGTAGTGTAATATACTATTATTTTTTACCCATTACTGTTTATAATGTTTTTTTGACGTTTACTTAAAATATTCTTCAAAAGAGATGGCCGCTTTTGAAATTAGAAGATTCATTTGTGTATTTTTTGTTTTTTTATGTTTTATATTTAATAATTTATTTATTAAATAAAGAAATGTTTATAGTTCGTACCAGGGGGCGACCGCCAATGTTGGCGATTGCAACATGGCGCAAGCATAATTTTTTATCATGAATAACCGAAAAACCATTACCTTCAAAGTATCAAAAATATATTATTATATAAACATTTTACATTTCACCATATTTCTTTTTAACAACCCTTTAGCCAATATCGTGATGGTTGACAATAGGAAAACTTATTATTTTTATTATGCGTTAAATACTCTTGCTTGTTTTAAAAATGAGATTCCTATAGAACAATAATTATTGTACTACCCTCTTAAAGCCCTTTGGTGTTTTTTATTTTTTGAGCACCCTGGACATTTAATTAAAAATGTTTGTTAGGAATCTCATTTTTAAATACAAGCAGAAGTTTTTATGAAGATTGATTTTTTGCGATTCCGTTACGAATATCTTACCACATTTCTCTCTTATTTTGATATATAATTTTTTTTTATTTCTCAGCACCCTGTATATATAATTCATCTTTTTATGAAAGTCTTAATTTTTAACCATCAAATATTTTCAAAAAGAATTAATTTTTCCACAAAACGCACTTCTAGTTTTTGGGTTTTTTTAGTTTCTGAGCACCCTGTACATTTAATTCAAAATGTTTTTGTAGGAATCTTATTTCTGAAGCAAGCAAGAGTTTTTAAATAACATGTTGTTTTTCGTATCATACCTAATAATATTCTATTGTCATTACCATCCGTGGGCACACTGTATAATATACAAAGTATATTAAAAAAATAATATTATTTAATAGGAGTAAAGAAAATTTTATTACCATTCTTAAATGCAATAATTGTCAAATTTAAAAAATATATTTCTTTTATGACCAGGTTAGCGGTAATTTGTCGGCCATTTTTTATTTTTGCATAACTCTCTTATAGGCGCATAAAGGCAGATTATTTTTTATAAAGTCGGAGCTGGAGGTTCATATTTTCGAATGCACTATGTGGTTCTGCGCAAGTAATTATAAATTTTTACATATATTCCATTTATTATTTTTAATTACAAAACTTGAGCATTTGTAGGTTAAAAAAGGCTATATTTTTGTCAAAAAATTCAAAAAAGACAGTTTAAAGTTGTATTTGTACTCAACTTAATCCCTAAGTAGTACTATAAATTTTTGACACTGATTTTCACTACTATATTTACACAACACCTTTTTTACACGAAAAAGAGAAGATTCCGAAAGTAAGAGTATTTTTGACAATCTTTTCATGTAGGTACCTATTTGTTATAACGCAACGCATACGCAGTTAATTCTACTTCGCAGTTTAAAATCTTAGGTAATAATCTGTCACGAACAATAAAGAGGCATCAATATGCGTTAATAAAGTGTTTTAAAAATTGGATTTTTGCCGCATAAATTTGCCTCTCAGGCCACTGTGCATTAGAATAAACATTTTTGTTTTGTTTTTTTTGTCCTGACAGGCTAGTTCAAGAATTATATACAAATCATAGTTTCAGATGACTTTAGGTTTTATGTTTGCAGAGACGTGTTTGAACTGTCATAAATATTTATTGTTACAAACTATTAAGCTAACAAATCAAAACTATGCTTTGAATACAGAATCTAAATGGCTCTATAAGGGAACATAGTTGTTAACAAGGATGTATTGGATAAAGTTTAATGTTCCAAATCAACAGTCCTATTGTTTTGGTCGGTTATGATAATGCGGCCGCAAAACAATCAAACATGTGGGGATGGAAATGCATCAATTGAAATAGGGTTATAATAGACCTAATGTACTAATACCTATATACTATTCAGTTCACCTATTGCGTGCAAATATTTGATTGTTGACTAAGCAGTTTGTACGTATTAATTGTTTAATGGATCAGGTTTTGTGGATCAGAAGCAAAACGTGGAAAGTCACTGAACAAATTAAAATTAATTGAAAATTATATTCTATTGACAATTTTTTTAAATTCAACAAAAATGTGCAATCTTTGTCATTGCAACCGTAAATTTATAAGATTTTTTTTTGTAATATTATAAGTTTAAAAAATCGACAATTTATGATATTTTTCCCCCTGACCACAGAACTTTAAAAGCTTTAGTGCTAAAAGTACAGAGAAGGTTATAAATATAATCTTGTGAACATTGGAAGAAGAATTAAGTACAGTGTAATCGTTTTTATTCAAAATATCCTTACCTGGAACTATGGAGTGAATCAGCGGTTAATATGCAATTAAAAACTTTTTAGTTCATTCGAATTTACACAATGTTATTTATTTTGTTTTTGTTATATTGCATTTGTTAATATTTTTATTAATTTATATATGATATGATGATATATGAAAAACTATTCAAATTTTATTTAAAACAAAAAACAACAAACACTTAAGAACATTTCAAACAGTGCTTTCAAAACATTTAACATTGAACATTTAAATTATTTACATTTAAATTTAAACATTTACAATGCTTAGAAAATGGTGAATTTCAATATGTATTTTTCAAAACATATTAACATAAATAACACTTATTTTTTGTTTTTATAAAGGTATATTTAGGAACGATGATTTTCATGAGATTCTTTAAAAAAATTTGTTTTGAATCTTAAAATGTAAATTAATACGTTTTCAATACTTTTTCAATATAAAAATTCCAGAGGCATTGATATTAATAATAATATTAATATTATTATGATTATATAATATAATAATTAAAATTATTTTAGAAAATAAAGTATACAATATTTGTGCATTTAAAATACGTGCTTGTTACTATTCAAGTTTTACACAAGAAATTATTACTATATGCTTTCATCCAAAATTAACTAATTTAACAGTTTGCTTTTGTCAAGTCTGACGTAAAATAAATAACCTTAAAGTAAAAGAATTTAACACTTTATTATATTGTTCTTTGTTGTCATGATGATAAAGAATGAAAATACCAAAAAATATGTATGCCCTGTATCTTTTTAAATAAGGAAGGTAGATTTTTTAACAATTTTCTGGTATTCTTTGGGGTCTGTAGATTATACAAGGTGGTCCGCGACTTCTGGGACACCCTGTATTAGATCATCTTAAAACAAGCTGTGTGCACGGTTCAACAAGACATTAAACAATTTTTAAAAACAAAAACTATTTCTAAAATTTTTGAAATTCACCGTTCTCTAATATTATTGAATACATTTTTAAATACTGACCTTTATAAGCCTTAAGATTCTACCAATCCTGAATACCCTCACAACTCTTAGTAGGGTTGGTGACACTGGGAAATCGATCATAATATCCTCCATAAGGATTCCTAGGATTGAAGCAAGGACGAGCAAAAAATCAAAGACGTTCCACGGAACAGTGAAGTAATGGTATCTTAGTCCTATGATTTTTACTATTGCCTCTGAAAAAACATATCATGCATATTTAGTATTATTGTTTACATAAATGAACGTTAAGGTATGTTTGCCAATAGGAGGCTTCCCAGTCATGAATTTTTAAAAACGTCGAATAATATGACCGATCAATAACAGAAAAGCGTCATGGGCCCATGGGTCAAGAT